TCAATTATAGTGGTTAATTTTTTACTTGCACCAAGCTCTTTGAACAAGGCAACCACAGCAACAGGATCAGTTGCACTAAGAAGCCCCCCAAGCAATAAGGATATTTTCCAACTCCAGTTATATGGAAAAGTGAGCTGCAACAAGATAAGAGAACTGCAACTATGGAAAAAGAAAGACAATTGCTTAGAAGATAGATAGTGTGGAAGCAAACTACCTTCAAAGCTAATCCAAGACAGAAAGTTGAAATAAGAACTCCTGGACCGGCAAGCAGAAGCATTTGTGCCATACACCTCTGTTCAAGCATAAAAGACAAACTGAAGCATTCAACACCTCAGAACATTTTTACACTTCACTAAAAAAATCACACAATTTCTGCATGACCCTGCCAATTTAAAAAAAAAAAAAGTCGAAAAACCTTTTGCTCTCTATTCAGGACAAGAAAAATAATCAACAACTTTGGTTCTATAATTTCAAGGAATAAAAAGAAAGGACCTATATTGGCCCAAAGAACAAAAATGCCCCAGGGATTCAAACAATGAGTAAATAACTACTAGAATGGTAAACTCCATGGGATCTGTATTTTTAGAAAGCTCGGTTGCTCACATGCCAAGCGCTTGTAAATTCTGAAAATTTGACATCCTCTCATGGGCAAATAAAGTGTTTCTTTGAATGCATACCAGACCCCATAAGGGATGCAAGAAAGATGATTTTAATTAAAGAACTCAAACTGGTATTTTGAAGTGAGATGTTGACCCCCTTAAAGCTTTAAGACATAGTAGCTAAAGCAAACCTTTATCTGGTGAACTTCCATCGAGAATGCACTCTCGAAAAGTAGAGCAGGAAGAAAAACAGCCAATAGAAGGTCAGCATCAATTTCTGCCCCTGCAAATTATCATAATACACTTTTATGGTGGTGACTAATTCTCAATAAGAGATGCCTTTTTGATTTTGACAACTTCTATCTCAAAGAATTCAATTTGTCATAGTCTAGCTTCTAATACTAACATAATCTGGAAAAAGAGTAAAGCAAGATGGAACTTACAAAGACGAATGCCATCCCCAATCTTCCCTAATTTATGATTTGTGCCATATTCTGCCCATTAAGGAATCAACACATAAGTGTATTAGATTTAACTCGGATTTATTTAAAATTTAAAATTGTATAATCAATATTTGATTATTAGCATGAAAAGGTAATTACAATTACTAAATGACTTAATTTAATAAAACATCTATTAACTATTACTCTTTTTTCATTTTAGTCTAAAATTTTTATTTTCTTTCAAACTTATCTATTAACTTTCAAATTTATTTCACTTTCATTTAGTCAACATAACAAAGTTAACTAAATTGATGAAACTTCATGTTTTTGATTGCATGGTGCCATGAAAGTCACCACGTGGTTCCATGTAAGCTATTATGTAGCTTAAAAAATGAGAGGGAAATTAAATAGATTTAAGATAAGAAATTGCATCGAAAATTATGAGAGATTTAACAATTTAAGGCTTTTGTTTCAATATTATATTATTTCTTCAAAACTTGTGAATGCTTAATTGAAGTTTGGGTGTTGTCTGTGACTTGTTACACTTGAGTTTTGGTTGATTAATCATGTATTAATTGCATTGTTAAAATAAAAAATCAATTTTAACTGTTGTTAGTGAAATCTACAATTAGACATAGGACATTTAAAATGGATTGCTTTGGAAATGCAATTGATTAAGTGAAATATTAAATAAAACAATGTTCTTATATTATTTTGGATGTGTTTTGAATTTGTTTGACATATATATGTGTTTGTGGCTATAGAATAAGTGGACTTAAGCTTCAAGTTTGGGGTATTCAGCAAACCCTCCGGGAAATTAGTGGACCTCTGCACAATAGGGTGAGTGCCGTGATTAGTTTCGGTATAAGTGTTGTTAGCACACATTAATGGACTCCATAGCATTGTGTGATTTTTGTTTTATGCATTCTGCTTGTGACATCACATTTGTGAGGATGTGATTTTATGATACAAATTTGATTTAAATGTCATTGGATATTTCTTGACATGTTTGATTGTCTGTGAACTAATTTGTGATATTAAATTATTATTTAAATACTAAGATTTATAATATTATGTGGTTTGGTTTAGTTATCTGTTATGTTCTTTGTATGTGTGTATGTCTAAGGGTGTTAGGACCCAAATTTGTAGTTTTAACTTAATATTTATTGAGATTTTAACTCATGATATTTTCCCTCACTTCATATTAGTAGATTGGAGTAGCAGTCACTACCTTGAGAGTTTTTGATATAGGTCCTATATGCTTATTGTATGGAGAAGCTAGAATCTTAGGGCTTTTGATGTGAAAATAGATTAATGTGTTACTAAAACGATGATTCTACTTCTATTATTTTAGAAAGCTTTAAAAAGGATTTACTCTCATGTATTTTTTACGTAAATTGCTTTTGTGTATATAATATTTAAATTAATTAAAATGCATTTAGTTTAACTTATTTTATAACTTTGAGTATTTTAATATTTTTCTTAAAATATCATTTTTGTTAAATTAATTTTCCTTTACAAGTAATGGATTTTCTTTATATAAAATTTTAAATTGATTTGAGAGCAAGATTTTCATTTAAAGAAATATTTTATACAGGAAAGCTTTAACTTCTGCTGCAATTTTTTTTTTCTGTAGTTCCTATTTCAATACTCCCCCGAACCAAAGGTACTTAATGGGGGTGTGTTACAAGATGTAAATAAAATAACTTTGAAAGTTAATAAATGAGTTTGAAAGGAAACAAAGATTTTAGACTAAAATGAAAAAAATGTTAAGAGTAATGATGCAGGGGACGAAAACGGGAGACGAAAATGAGGACGACAGGTTATGCAAAATTTATACATGTGGTGCAATTACTAATTTGACCCCCTTGCATAACATGTCGTCCCCCATTTTCGTCCCCTGCACTATTACTCAAAGGTTAATAGTTAATAAATAATTTATTAAATTCAGTTATTCCTAAATTTGAAGACTAGGAAGTTGAACCTTCAGTAGCATACTAACGTAATTGAGAATTTAAATCTTCAGTAGTTACTAATCTAATTTGCATCAACGGGGACAGGAACAGGCCCAGGGGGTGCAAGTGGGGAGGGGGGCGCTCGCTCCTCCTTGGCTTCTTAAAAAAAAAAAATAATAAGCCCCATATTTTTTTAAAAAAAATCAATGAAACCTTCTTAAAAGAAATACAACGGTGTGCTTCTAACTTTTATTCTTTTATTATCTTATGATAAATCACAAATACTTGATAAGTAAAATAGATTTATAAAAAAAAATTATTTATTTATTTATTTTTGACTAATGAGAAATTAGAGATAGAAAAATAGTTATATTGCTACACTAACCGCTTGAATCCTTAATAAATAAATCAAGGACATTGGGTACTTTCATCGTGACTAACGCCACACAAGTAAAATAAAAAAAAAAGTGTTATTTGACATGTTTGTTAATTGTTATAATATATTATTGATTAATAATAATTTATACTAAGTAATAAAATAAAATAAATTTAAAATTAATATTATTTATTTTTTTAACATTTAATTTTAAATATTGTATCATATTAAATAAAAGTAGTGCTTAAAGCACTCGCTCCAGCACCAACTCTTCATCGCTTTCTCCTCTAGTTTGCCATGTCACCTATGAATTTAAGATATTAACTAGAATCCACAATACCAAGTGAAGAACTAAAAGACAAAATTATTAAATAAGTACTAAAAAATTGTAGAAAGTTGTGCCCGTTAAAAAAGAAGAAAATGCAAAAGCTTTTAGGTTAAACCTCTATTTTGGTCCCTGAACTATTGTATAGACTTTTGATTTGGTCCCTAAACTAAAGAAATCCCTAATTTGGTCCTTGGACTATTGTACAGACACCTGAGTTGGTCCCTAAACTATTATACGAACTCCCAAGTTAGTCCCTAAAATATTGTATGGATACCCAATTTGATTCCTATTATTTACCAATTTAACTCCAACTTGATCCTTCTGTTAAACAATAGCTCAGGGACCAAATTGGGGCAAAATTGTAAACAGTAAAGATCAAATTGGGGTCCGTACAATAGTTTAAGGACTAGTTTAGGCCAAATTATAAACAGAGGGACCAAATTGGAGGTCTGTACAATAGTTTAAGGACCAAATCGGAGATTTCTTTAGTTCAGGGACCAAATTTGAGGTCTGTATAATAGTTCAGGGACCAAAATGGGGATTTAACCAAGCTTTTAAAGTCCTTTCATTTCTCCCTCTTCTGCCATGGCCTTCTGGCATCCGCTCTATCGTCCGATTTTGGTCTAATTTTCATCTGCCACGGTCCAACACTTTCCTTTTTGCTCCTGAAAAACACATAACTGAGCACTACCATGGTTGCTGGATTATATATGTTTTGCCTCCGGCAAAGCTCAAGACTTTAACCATCTTTTTCTTTCTTTTTCTTTTTTTTTCCAGATTTGTCTGCAAATCTTCACTATAAATCATTAGAAGTTATAAAAATATCGTAATAATGCCTTTCTTGTTTTATCTTTTGCCAATAATTATCACACATGAGATCTTAAAAATTCCATCCTCTATAAATTGTTGAACAAAGGAGGGAAATGGAAAGAAAGGTAGAAAGAAAGAAGAAATAATGGAACAAGTTTTGAAGATAAAGAAAGAAAGAGAGAAAGGATATGACAGTCCAATTACCGGCGGTACAAGGTTTGCAGATCAAATTCTTTTCACCCATGGAAAGAAAGGAACAGCGAAGAGTAAAGGAAGAGTTTCTTAAAAAAAGAGAAGAAGAAGAAGAAGAAGAAGAAGATTATAGAGTGCAGGACCCACAATCCTGCAGAAGCTTTGAAACTGATTCAATTTTAAAGTTTAAAAGTATGGGGTATGTGGCAAAAGAAGAAGGAGACTGCCCTTAGCATTTTCTATAAAAATAATATTTTATAAATACATATAACTTTTAACAAATTTTCTAATAATATTTAAGATGTTAAAATTTTAATCTTATAAATAAGTAAAAAGACTTATTTTTACCATATATATTTTTAAATGGTACTTGCTTATTCTCGGGCTCCGTGCCTGTGCGTCAAGAGCAAACAATTTAACTGATGCTAAGCTAAAGAACGGTGAAAGTGAAGATGACGCAAACCTAAAGATCCAAGAGCGATTCCGATGATGAGCAAAGCAACAGTGTAAGGGAATTTGGTGCCGCCCAGAACATGCCTGGAACCAATTCCGAGCACCAAAGACAGTCCGACGAAGATGACAGCGTCGACGGGGTCGGAATCGGAGGACGTTTCGGCCAGCAACCTGAAGGGCGCAAGTAATCTGTAGGGCAAAGCGCGCGTAACCTCTCCAAGTGCCTCCATGGCATTGACTCCGACTGTCATTCACTCTACACAGATGGAAGAGAGGAGAAAGAGACAAAATAGAGCACGCATGTAATATTATTTCCACCACGTAGAACCCCCTGCTGCAGATAGAGTTATTTATAAATGGAAGTATTTAATTTGACCTTTCTACCAAAATAATAATAATAATAATAATTTGAACGTACGTTGTGTCTCCTTTAGCTTCCAACGGAACGAATCCAATCCGATAGCCACCAGAAAATCCCCGTTTACGTGAGGTGGAGGTACCGACTTGGGTGCTAACCCCAATTGAAACGCCTAGAAAACCACCGATGAGAGTGGAAACGGGGAGATTTTATAAGGGAAGAGACCGACGTCTCTGCAATTTTTGTGAAAGGGGTTGGGGTTTTGGGTTCTTGATGTCAAAGAAAGGAATAGAATAAAAGGACAAAGTTAGTTGAAGAATGGGGTGGTGTTATTGCCACAGCCACTAATGTTAATGCCACAGCTTTTTTTAGTTTTTTGACTATTATACGCCTCATTTGAATCCAACTTGCAGCAGTCACCACCTTCTTCGCGTGGGTTAATGGTCAAATAACTAAAAAAAGCTGTGGCATTAACATTAGTGGCTGTGGCAATAACACCACCCGAAGAATGGTACCATTCACAGTTTGGTGTTTCTTGAACACCGCCCTAAAAACTCGGAAAAGTTGATAGAGTGTACCACAGCCACCAGTAGGGCAGAGTATTATCTCCTTCTTTTTCTCTTTTTCTTTTTCACATTTCATTCTCTCTTTTTCTTTTTCACATTTCATTCTCTCAAACGAGGCGTGCTATTATTAGATTACTTTTTAGTGGAGTTCACACGGTGGTAAAGATTGAAATTCCAACCACCTCACCTAAACACTTAAGGTTTGGATCAAACCATTTAACCTAAAAATTCAGTTCTCGCAGAGTATTATCAATAGGATGAATGGTGATAAAGGGAAAATTTTTTTGTTTTATTTTTTTTATATAATTTTTATATATTATTAAATAAATATATTTATTTAATATTATAAATTTTACATAAATTAGAAAATTAATTATTTTAATAACACTTTAAATTATAAAAAATAAAAAATTTATACAAAAAGTATTTTTCATTATCAATATCGCAGTCTATTTCTACTTTTTGCTGGTGTGGTTACCGCCGCTCAATTTTTAATAATAGCAGACGCGAATAATTTTAAAAATATTAATTTTCTTTAATTTAATTTTATATATTTATTAATTTAACATTAAATTATATTTTATTTAATTTAATATTAAAATTTTCTATAGTATTGCAATTAACTATAATCATAAAAATGAATGACCTGCTTCGGTTCAGTGGTATTGGATCATTGATTAAAACTATTCATTTTTTATGGGTTGCACGTTTGAGTCCTATGGAATCTCTTTTTCTCCTCCCCTTATTAACCTTGTAAATAATTACAAATTGGTAAAAAAAAAACTATAATCATAAAAATAATTAATATTTCTTTTATCACAAAATAATTACTATTTTTTAACTTTAAAATTAATGATCACAAATTAATTGTTTTTATTTTTATTTTTTTAATATAACTAAATATTTTTTACTTAATTCTATCCCTATTTATTTGTTTTAGTTAATTATTTTATC